GCCCGAATCTGGTGTCACTAGTCGTGAGCCTCTAGACACAATCCAACACTGTCTGCTTAATACAAAACAAGTCTGAATATAAAAATACTAGGGATAGGAAGGAGAAAGGAAGGGCTGCGAACGCCGTGCAGCTACCTTGCAATATCCGAATAGTACTCTAAAAGCAACAAACAGCTCTCACTCGGAGGCTCTAGCACCTGGATCTGCACACAAGGTGCAGGGAGTAACGTGAGTACGCCAACTCAGTAAGTAACCAAAGTAAATAAAGTCTGAGTGCAGTGACGAGCATTTAAAATCATATGCATACTTTATCAAGAATCTGAAATATCAAAGTCAAATTTGCAGTTCAATAACCAATTATCTCGTAAAAACTCCAATTTCAATAATAATCCTTTAAAATATTTATTCAACATTTTTCAGTGGAGGCTCAATATAAAAGAAGAGTGAAAAAAGAAAATCTCATAAACAAGCCTCTCAGGCAAAGTATCACTCATAAGTATAGCACCTCGGGCAAGCCTCTCAGTCACTCGTGACTCGGATCTCATCAATCAGTACTCATACTTAGCACTCCTGCTCAATAACTATATCATAATAAATACCGCTGCGGCGTGCATCCCGATCCGTTATATATAGTCGACTACGCTCACTGGGGTTGTACAGACTCCGGAGAGGCTCCTACAACCCAATATATCGCTGCGGCGCGCAGCCCGATCCAATATATTGCTGCAGCGTGCAGCCCGATCCATATATATAGATATCACTGCGGCGCGCAGCCCTATCCATAAATATATATAATATAATCCTCTCCATTCGGTCCTCGACCTCTATCTCAGTCATTAACCTCACAGCCACTCGGGCATTTCAGTGAAAATCAGGGAACTCAAGCCAAACAGTTTTTATATATTTGAAAGTGAATCAATAATAAACAAGCATAATCATGACTAAGGATATGCTTTTAAATCAAAGCAATGTGAGGAAAGTAGTAAAATACCCCTAAGGGTCCAAACAGTTCGGCACAAGGCCCCAAACATGGCATTCAACCCAAATTAACAGATTTATTTCCAAACACATGGATATCATATAAGGTTTATCAAAATATATAACTCTACAGTCGCCAGGGGACAGACCAAATCACAATCCCTACGGGTTCACACCCAAATGCTCGTCACCTAGCATGTGTGTCACCTCATTTATCAAAACAGTACAAAATTTCGGGGTTTCATACCCTTAGGTCTAGATTTACAATCGTTACTTGCCTCAAACCGGATGAAATCCTACTCCGCAATGCCCTTGTCTCTCAACTCGGCCTCAACTCGCGTCGAATCTATCCAAAATCATAATCATAACATTAATATACGCTAAGGGAACAAAGCCCACGCGAAAATAATCAAATTACATCAAAAATCTCGAAATTGGCCAAACTCGACCCCTGGTCCCACGTCTCGAAATCCGATAAATATCACATCAATTGGATCATTATCCTCCCACGAGTCCATACATACCAAGAACATCAGAATCGGACCTCAAATGGTCCCTCAAATCCCCAATTTTACCTCTCCAATTTCAAGCCCTAACTTCCCAATTTTTCACCTTTGATCCCATAAATTTCATGCTTAAACAATTGAAAATCAACATAGAATCGAGTTTTAGGTTCAAAAACCTTACCTCCAAGTGTTTCCCTTCGAATCCCTCTTCAATCCCTCTCAAAAAGCTTCAAAACCGCTCAACAATGGTGAGAAATGAGCTGAAAATCGCGAAGGCAAGAATTTATATGTTCTGCCCAGGGGTTCCGCATCTGCGGTCCAATACCGCACCTGCGACCCCTGTACATGCGACAAAAGTCCGCTTCTGCGAAATTTCACTTAAACTCCTCATCCGCACCTGTGATCAAGCCAACGCATTTGCGGGCTCGCAAGTGCGACTAACCTTCCGCATCTGCGATGCATCCCCAATCACTGGCCTTCGCTCCTGCGATAAAAATGCCGCTTCTGCGGCTCACACTTGCGGTCCCCAATCTGCAGGTGCGGTTACGACAGAAACTCAGCAGCTTCAACTGCAAACTCTAACTTTCAAACTTCCCGATAACCATCCGAAATCATCCAGAGGCCCCCCGGACCTCAACCGAAAGTACGAACAAGTCATATACCACTATTCAAACTCCTACCAATCTTCGTAACACTCAAAAAAACATTGAATCATCAAAACACCCTCGCATTCAAGCCTAAGGATTCCAAAACTTTCGAATTCCGCATTCGATCAAAAAGTCTACCAAACCTCATCCGAATGACCTGAAATTTTGCACACACGTCACAAATGACACAACAAAGCTAATACCACTTTCTGAATTTCATTCTGACTCCGATATCTAAATTTCCACTACCAACCGGAAAATACCAAAATTCTAATTTCGCCAATTCAAGCCTAAATCTACCATAGACCTCCAAAATACATTCCGATCACACTCCTAAGTCCCAAATCACCTAACGAAGCTACCCGAACCATCAGAATTCACATCCGTGACCTTTTTCACATAAGTCAACATCCGGTTGACTTTTTCAACTTAAGCTTACTCAAAAGAGACTAAGTGTCTCAAATCTCTCCAAAACCACTCCGGACCCGAACAACCCAACCCGATACCACATAATACAGCTGAACAAGGCAAAGAAAAGCAGAAATGGGGAAAACGGAGCGGTAACTCATGAAACGACCGTCCGTGGCGTTACATCCTCCCCCTCTTAAACAAATGTTCGTCCTCGAACGAGTCATGAAACATACCTGAAGCCTCAAATAGGTGAGGATATCTGCTCCGCATCTCCCGCTCGGTCTCCCAAGTAGCCTTCTCCACGGGCCGACCTCTCCACTGCACTTTCACTGAAGCTATATCCTTTGATCTCAACTTTCGAACCTCACGCTCCAAGATAGCCACAGGCTCCACATCATAAGTCAAATCACCGTCCAACTGAACCGTGCTGAAATCCAAAACATGAGACAGATTGCCAATATACTTTCGGAGCATAGAAACATGAAATACTGGATGCACACTCGACAAGCTGGGTGGCAAAGCAAGCTCATAAGCCACCTCCCCAATCCTCCGAAGCACCTCAAAAGGCCCAATGAACTAAGGACTCAATTTACCCTTCTTCCCAAATCTCATAACACCCTTCATGGGTGAAACCTTCAGTAGAACCTTATACATCACGGACCTTCCTGCCAGCATAACTCTTTTGTCTTGACTGCGCTGTACGAAGCCGCTCCTGGATCACCTTCACCTTGTCCAAAGCATCCTGCACTAAGTCAGTACTCAAAAGCCTAGCCTCACCCGGTTCAAACCATCCAACTGGAAATCTACACCGTCGCCCATATAAAGCCTCATATAGAGCCATCTGAATACTCGACTGATAACTGTTGTTGTAAGCAAACTCAGCATGCGGTAGAAACTGATCCCATGACCCTCCAAAATCAATGACTCACGCGCGAAACATGTCCTCTAATGTCTGAATAGTGCGCTCGGACTGCTCGTCCGTCTAAGGGTGAAAAGTTATGCTCAACTCAACCTGAGTACCCAACTCTCTCTGCACGGCCCTCCAGAACTGCGAAGTGAACTGAGTGCCTCTATCTGAAATGATGGAACCGGGCCACCATGCAAGCGAACAATCTCCCGGATATAAATCTCTGCCAACCGCTCCGAATAATAGGTAGTACACACAGGAATGAAGTGCGCGGAATTGGTCAGCCGATCCACAATCACCCAAATAGCATTGAACTTCTTCAAAGTTTGTGGGAGCCCAACTACAAAGTCCATGGTGATCCTCTCCCGCTTCCACTATGGAATATCTATCTGCTGAATCAAGCCACCCGATCTTTGATGCTCATATTTCACCTGCTGACAATTGAGACACCGAGCTACAAATCCCACAATGTCCTTCTTCATTCTTCTCCACCAATAATGCTATCTCAAATCCTGGTACATCTTCGCGGCACCAAGATGGGTGGAATACCGCGAGCTATGGGCCTCCTCCAGAATCAACTCCTGAAGCCCGTCTACATTGGGCACACATATCCGGCCCTGCATCCTCAATACCCCATCGGCACCAATAGTCACATCTCTGGCATCGTCGTGCTGAACTCTGTCCTTAAGGACAAGCAAATGAGGATCATCATATTGGCGCTCTCTGATGCGATCAAACAAGGAAGACCAAGAAACCGCACAAGCTAATACCCGACTGGGCTCCGAAATATCCAATCTCACGAACCGATTAGCTAAGGCCTGAACATCAACTACAAGAGGTCTCTCCCCAATAGGAATATATGCCAAACTTCCCATACTCACCACCTTCTTACTCAAGGCATCAGCCACTACATTGGCCTTCCGCAGATGGTACAAGATAGTGATATCATAATCCTTTAGCAGCTCCAACCACCTCCGCTACCTCAAATTGAGATCTTTCTGCTTGAACAAGTGCTGGAGGCTGTGATGATCAGTAAACACCTCACAAGACACACCATAAAGATAATGCCTCCAAATCATCAACGCGTGAACAATGACATCCAACTCCAAATCATGAACAGGTTAGTTTTTCTCACGGGGCTTCAACTAACGAGAAGCATAAGCAATCACTCTACCCTCCTGCATCAAAACACACCTAATACCAACTCTCAAAGCATCATAATATACGGTATATGAACCTGAACTGATGGCAAAACTAACACTGGAGCTGTGGTCAAGATAGTCTTGAGCTTCTAAAAGCTCGCCTCACACTCATCTGACCATATGAAAGGAGCACCCTTTTGAGTCAACTTGGTCAACGGTGATGCTATAGATGAAAATCCCTGAATGAACCGACGGTAATAACCCGCAAAACCAAGAAAGCTGCGAATCTCTGTGGCTGAGGAAGGTCTGGGCCAACTCTGAACCACCTCTATTTTCTTGGGATCAACCTGAATACCCTCACTAGACACCACGTGCCACAAGAAAGCCACTGAACTGATCCAAAACTCACACTTGGAGAACTTTGCATAAAGCGTCTCCTCCCTTAATATCTGCAACCCAACTCTCAAATGCTCCGCGTGCTCTTCCTGACTACGCGAGTACACCAGAATATCATCAATAAATACAATGAAAAACGAGCCGAGATAAGGCCGAAATACGCTGTTCATCAAATGCATGAACGCTGCTGGGGCATTAGTCAGCCTAAAAGACATCACAAGGAACTCATAATGACCATATCGGGTCTTGAAAGCTGTCTTAAGAATATCCGAGTCCCTGATCTTCAACCGGTGATACCCTAACCGGAGATCAATCTTGGAGAACACCCTCACTCCCTGAAGCTGGTCAAATAAATCATCGATATGAGGCAAAGGATACTTGTTCTTGATTGTGACCTTGTTCAACTGCCTGTAATCAATGCACATCCTCATAGTGCCATCCTTCTTCTTCTTCACAAATAGAACAGGCGCACCCCACGGCGAAACACTAGGCCGAATGAACCCCTGATCAAGGAGTTCCTGAAGCTGCTCCTTTAACTCCTTCAACTCCGGCGGTGCCATACAATACGGTGGAATAGAAATGGGCTGAGTGCCCGGCCTAAAATCGATACCAAAGTCAATATCCCTGTTCGGTGGCATGCCCGGCAGGTCTGCAGGAAACAAATATGAAAAATCCCTCACTACTGGGGTAGAATCAATACTGGGAGTCTCTGCACTAACATCCCTCACAAAAGCTAAGTACGAGACACAACCCTTCCCAACCATCCGCTGGACCTTCAAGAATGAATTTACCCTACTGGGAACATAATCAGATGAACCTCGCCACTCAATCCGTGGAACACCCGGCATAGCTAACGTCACTATCTTAGCATGACAATCCAGAATAGCACGGCGCGGGGATAACCAATCCATGACCAATATCACATCGAAGTCCACCATACAAAGCAACAGTTGGTCCACTCGGGTCTCCAGACCCTCAATAGTCACCACACACGACTCGTATACACAGTCCACAACAATAGTATCGCCCACCGAAATAGATACACGAACAGAAGAAACAAGAAACTCAAGGGGCGTATCCAAATAGCGAGCAAAATATGGTGACACATATGAAAAAGTGGAACCAGGATCAAATAACACAGATGCATCTCTGTGGTAGACTAAGACAATACCTGTAATCACAACATCTGAAGCAATAAAATCTGGCTTAGCTGGGAGTGCAAAGAAATGGGCCTGACCACCACCTGATCGACCTCCCCCTCTGGGGCGACCCTTGGATGACTGACCTCGACCCCTGGCTGCCTGAGCGGGTGGTGAAGTAACTGGAGCTGAAGTCGAGGGCTGACTCCTCTGTTGAGCTGGACCCCCAAGTAGACGAGCACACTGCCTTCTCATATGCCCAAACTCTCCACACTCATAACAACTCCCTGATGCTGGAGACAGGGACTGAAGGGAACCCCTAGCACCGGGATGACTAGCAAAAGAACCTTGTACGGAAGAGCCCTGGACAGATGGAGCACGGGACAAACTCTGGGCTGGAAGGGCACTAAGTGATGAATGGCCCTGATGAGAACTGTGAGAACCATGGCCCGATGATGCCCCACGATGAGCTGGGCGAGCCGACTAAGCATTCCTGAAGGGACGGCCTCTGCCCTACTTAAACTGGCCTCTCAAAGGAGCGCCACCAAAACTACCAGATCCTCGAGGCCTCTTGGCCTTCCTCTCATCCCGTTCCTGGCGACGAACTGACTCAATCTCTCGAGCAATATCAACAACCTGCTCAAAAGTAGCACCGGATACCCTCTCTCTGGTCATGAGAATGCGAAGCTGATATGCGAGGCCATCCACGAACCTCCTGGTCCTCTCTCTGTCCGTAGGAACCAACCAAACAGCATGACGAGCTAACTCTGAAAATCTCATCTCATACTGCGTCACTGTCATATCATCCTGACGCAAGTGCTCGAATTGTCTGCGCAACTCCTCTCGACGAGACTGTGGCACATACTTCTCCAAAAAGAGAGCTGAGAATTGCTGCCAGGTAAGGGGCGCTGCATCAAATGGCCTACGCCTCTCATAAGCCTCCCACCAAGTAAAGGCAGCTCCAGAAAACTGAAAAGTAGTAAATTCTACCCGCTGGTCTCCAGAATACCCGTGGTGCGAAAAATCCTCTTACACTTGTCCAAGAAGCCCTGGGCATCATCACCCTCTGTACTACTGAAAGTCGGAGGCTGAAGTCTCCCAAATCTCTCTAATCGATGTTGCTCGTCCTGAGGCATAACTGGAACCACATGAGCAGGTGCAACCGGCTGGGCTGGTGGTGCCTCCGGTGTCTGCAGTCCCTGAACAACCTGCTCGGGTGTACGGGCGGCGGGAGTCTGAGTGCTTCCCCCGGCCTGAAAAATGGCTGCTGTAGTAGTAACTGCGATCGCCTGAGCAAGACTGGTGCACACGGTCAAAATCTGAGCCAAGGTCTCCTGAAGACCCAGAATAACAATAGGCACAGCTGGTGCCTAAGCTGGTACTGCTGGAGCTTCCGCAACTAGGACCTGATCCTAAACTAGGGCGGCGGGTGGATCTGTAGGTGCTGCCCTAGCTGCTGTGCGGGCTACACCCCTGCCTCTACCACGGCCTCGACCGCGACCTTGGCCTCTAGTGGCCCCAACTGGTGGTAGTGGTGGTCGTCCGCCCTGACCAGTAGCACGTGTCCTCACCATCTGTGAGAGAATAGAATAACAGAATTTTAGTACCAAAATCAACAGATTCGCACGACAGGAATTTCAAGAATGTGAAGTTTTCCAAAATGTTCTGCAGCCTCCCGAGGATAAGTACAGACGTCTCCGTACCGATCCACGAGACTCTACTAAACCGGCTCATGAATCGTGAGACCTATGTTACCTAGGCTCTGATTCCAACTTGTCACGACCCCAAACCACCCCGGTCGTGATGGCGCATGTTGTAGTACTAGGCGAGCCAATTCAACACATTACAACATCGAATTCTTTTATAATTTCATTTTCAAATCAGATAAATCCCAAATTTCTCAGTTTAATTTATATAAAAATACGCGGAAACAAGTACGTAAATACATCAACAAAGCCTGAATCTGGTGTCACTAGTCAAGAGCCTATAAACACAATCCAGCACTATCTCCTTAATACAAAACAAGTCCGAAATATAAAAATACTACGGATAGGAAGGAGAAAGGCAGGCTGCGAAAGCCGTGCAGCTACCTTGCAATCTCCGGATAGTACTCTAAAAGCAACGAACAGCTCTCACTCGGAGGCTCTGGCACCTGGATCTGCACACAAGGTGCAGAGAGTAACGTGAGTACGCCAACTCAGTAAGTAACCAAAGTAAATAAAGTCTTAGTGCAGTGACGAGCATTTAAAATCATATGCATACTTTATCAAGAGTCTCAATAGAAATATCAAAGTCAAATCTGTAGTTCAATAACCAATTATCTCGTGAAAACTCCAATTTCAATAATAATCCTTTAAAACGTTTATTCATCATTTTTTAGTGGAGGCTCAGTATAAAAGAAGAGTGAAAATAGAAAATCTCATAAATAATCCTCTCGGGCAAAGTATTACTCATAAGTATAGCCCCTCGGGCAAGCCTCTCAGTCACTCGTGACTTGGATCTCGTCAATCAGTACTCACACTCAGCACTCCTGCTCAATTACAATATCATATTAAATACCGCTGCGGCATGCAGCCCGATCCGTAGTATATAGTCGACTACGCTCACTGAGAGTGTACAGACTCCGGAGGGGCTCCTACAACCCAAGCGCTATATCGCTGCGGCGCGCAGCCTGATCCAATATATCGCTGCGGCGTGCAGCCCGATCCATATATATAGATATCGCTGCGACGTGCAACCCGATCCATAAATATAAATAATATAATCCTCACCATCCGGTCCTTGACCTCTCTCTCAGTCATTAACCTTACAGCCACTCGGGCATTTCAGTGAAAATCAGGGAACTCAGCCCAAACAGTTTTTATATATTTGAAAGTAGAGTAATGAAATTGAATCAATAATAAACAGGTATAATCATGACTAAGGATATGCTTTCAAATAAAAACAATGTGAGGAAAGTAGTAAAATACCCCTAAGGGTCCAAACATTTCGGCACAAGGCCCCAAACATGGCATTCAACCCAAATTAACAGATTTATTTCCAAACACATGGATATCATACAAGGTTTATCAAAATATGCAACTCTACAGTCGCCACGGGACGGACCAAGTCACAATCCCTAGGGGTGCACGCACACACGCCCGTCATCTAGCATGTGCCTCACCTCATTTATTGAAACAATACGAAATTCCGGGGTTTCATACCCTCAGGTCTAGGTTTACAATCGTTACTTACCTCAAACCGGATGAAATACTACTCCGCGATACCCTTGCCTCTTGACTCGGCCTCAACTCGCGTCGAATCTATCCAAAATCAGAATCATAACATTAATATACGCTAAGGGAACAAAGCCCACGCGAAAATTATCAAATTACATCAAAAATCCCGAAATTGGCCAAACCCGACCCCCGGGCCCACGTCTCGGAATCCGATAAAAATCACATCAGTTGGATCTTTATCCTCCCACGAGTCCATACATTACCAAGAACATCAGAAATCGGACCTCGCGACGGTACGACCTTAACCTTCCGCATCTGCGATGCTACTTACCCAATGACTACGCCTTCGCTGCTGACAATAAAATCGCCGTCTTCTTCGGCTCGCACTTCGCGGTACCCCAATCTGCAGATGCGGTTATGACAGAAACTTAGCAACTTCAGCCGCAAACTCTAACTTCCAAACTTCCCGATAACCATCCGAAATCATCCCGAGGCCCCCAGGGCCTCAACCAAAACTACGAACAAGTCATATACCACTATTCAAACTCGTACCAATCTTTGGAACATTCAAAACAACATCGAATCACCAAAACACCCTCGGATTCAAGCCTAAGGATTGCAAAACTTCCGAATTCCGCATTCGATCAAAAAGTCTACCAAACCTCATCCGAATGACCTGAAATTTTGCACACACATCACAAATGACACAACAGAGCTACTACAACTTCCGAAATTCCATTCCGACCCCAATATCAAAATTTCCACTACCAACCGGAAAATGCCAAAATTCCCATTTTGCCAATTCAAGCAAAAATCTACCACGGACCTCCAAAATACATTCCGATCACGCTCCTAAGTCCCAAATCACCTAACGAAGCTACCTGAACCATCAGAATTCACATCCGAGACCTTTTCCACATAAGTCAACATCCGGTTGTCTTTTCCTACTTAAGCTTACTCAAAAGAGACTAAGTGTCTCATACATCTCCAAAACCACTCCGAACCCAAACCAACCAACCCGATACCACATAATACAGCTGAACAAGGCAAAAAGAAACAGAAATGGGG